CATTGACACAGTTGGTGTAATACGCATGACATCTGCGGCGCTAAGACAGGCGAGGCCTGTTGTACTTGCCTGCGGAGTTTTGGTTACTCACGCCACTGAGTCATGGGTTATCATCAATGACACAAAACTACTAGACTAATTCATAATTAAATTCTGTTTTATTGGAAACATGCAGATTGTGTTTATTGTTTCGCAGATAGAGCTCTCACATCGGCTGCCGCATTAGAAAGAAGGAGACAGCTGTTACTTTGAGTGAGGATGGTTTCTGCGAGTATGTTTATTTAAGAAGCAAGCATGCGTTTTATGAATTAATTAGTATTTACGTCTACTACGCTTGCTTTACACTGCTGTCACACTTGAAAATTAATTGCGTACTATCCTGAAAAACACTATACAACTATAAATTGTTGAAACTAGGAAAGACACAATAAACTAACAATAAGTGGCAATAAGAATGCAAATATGCTTCCCTACTGTAATTTGAAAGCCCTTTGTGAGCTTTAGAGCCTTATGTATAGGCAATATCGAATTATAGCCATGAACAAGCCTTGTGACAATACTCTCCCATACTCTCTCATAATAATTTGGCAACTACGTTGATGACACCGTGAATGTTTGCAATCAGATTTTTGTAAATAAAATTAGTCGTAGTAGTTTTTGTCATTGGTTATCATGGTTTTCACCCGAAGAACTTTTTTAATAGGTAAAGCATTGAGTTCGAACGTTTACATACGGCTGATATCTGAATTTACAATGATTTCCGTTACAGGAGTTCACAGTCGCTATCGCACTACCGTTTAAATAATAGTTCACAAACGGGTTATTTTTTACTATGTTTTCCGTGTTTAATGGAAGCAGCTAAGTTTTACACCAGTTTGAAACAGCTTTAAGATCCTTTGGTAGCTTGTAACGATTGGAATCGTTATTTCGACACAACCACCTTTCACCTCTTAAATGTCATTTGTCGTTTTCTTCTTCCTTCATTCGGATTGTGAGAATTATTTTTGACTTGGATGTCAATGAATCAACTTGATTTGAATTTCAATATATCTAGGTCATCCTATGTATTAGATGATTTTTAATATTCTTATTGGCCGTCTGATTTTATAAGGTAAGTTTTAATAATGATATATTGTTGAAAATATATATTTTGTACAAGGATTTCTTAATTAAATTGTCAAGTTCCGAACATAACCTAAAATCCTATCAACAATGAGTAACACACATGATTAATTTATATAATATTTTTTGGAATAAGATATTATGCTTTATTGTGTTTAAATGTATTAAATAAGATTTTTCCTTTTCATATTAATTTTAGTCTCTGTGAAATTATTCATTTAATAGTTTTAAATTGTTCATTTAATAGTTAAAGCATTTTATCTAAATCATGTTCCAATTTCCTATTTCCTGTCTTAATATTTTAAACCTTTTTTAGCATGGCTATATCTAGACGGTTTTGAATTCCTCTCAAGACGGTTTTGAATTCCTATCAAGATGTTTTATGGTTTTTATACCTAGAAGTTTGTTATGGTTTTGGTACAATCTGAAGACCGTGGTTTGATTCATCTCTAGAAGATCTAGACAATTTCGAGTTTAAGTTAGAGTACCAAATATCACAAGATCATTCACATTGCAGAATTACGAAAAAGGATCCCAAATCCCTTTAAAGAAGTTGCCTGAGGATATACCATGCGATAAAACATTCCTTATATTACCTCCTTTTAACAAAAGATAAGTGCTATTGAATAAATCATCTTAAATTTGAATTTAGTAGAACTATGTGAATTAGAATTTGCTACTACCTTATCTAAAGCATGGTTTAAATATAATTTATTAGTGGTTAATGATTTTCTATATTTTTATCACTAATCTAAAGTCAAGTATACTAAGATTTAAATATAGTGGTGCCCAACTTCTTTTTCAAAGTTATTCGAGTTATTTAATAACCTTACCTACGCCCAATCAATTGAGCTCAAACACATTATACAAGTAGAAAGAATAACTAAAGATCACGTTACAAAATGGCGCCTCAACTGGGTTAAATAGCTCTTAACTTTGAAATAGTTTCCTTATAACTCATCGTTCTAATTCCCATAGGTATTTTACAGAGGTTAACTAAACTAACTGCATGTCTTGTACTTTTACTAATACTTTCTTACCTCCTATTTTAACCTTTCTATAAATCTAGATATCGTGTCAATATCTGCATTTTGTACTAGGTCCACTGTTTATTTATACATAATTATACATATTTACACATATTTATACATATTTTGCTAGTGATATATCTATATATTCATTATACACTGATAAAAGTGTATAGTTTATGGATTTTTACCTAAAGTTGATTTTGTGTGCCTATCGAGTAAATTTTTTTTAAAAAGTTTCATTGATATTGATTACGATTTATCTGAAGATGATGATAATGAAGTCATACTTAACGTTAATAATGATACTTCTGTAATTTCCTTGATTTCCATACCGTTCCTTTAAATAAGTTAAAATATTGCTAAATTTTCATATATAATGTCAGGCCAGAATAGTAAAAATTAGTATCTGGCTTTTTACTATTCTGCTATTACCTACACGACCAAGTAGTACCGCCTGTAGTAAATTTTTTCTTTTTACACCATTGGAATATTTACTGTCAGACCAGAATATTATATCTAGCTTTTTATTCTGCTATTACCTACATGACCAAGTAATACCACATGTAGTCAATTTTTTTCCTTTTACACCATTGGAATATTTATGAGTCAGACCAGACATTACCTTCTAACTTTTAACTGTCTGCTACTGCTTATTTTTTAAAGCAATACTGTCTGTAATAGCTAACTTAATTTTTGGTAATATGTATTCAGTTACTAATAGTATTTTTTTATAAAAAATTTCTACCTAATTTCTACATAATTTTCTCTTTACATTTTTCTTTATTTGTTAGTATAATTTTGGATAAGTATTTGAAACTATCTAGTTTGCAATTACCAATTTAGGAGAGTGTCCGAATTATATTAATACATTTGTTTTTTTTTATTTTATTTTCGGTTGCTTGCTTAACACTGTATCTATCAGTTATTAATATGATTCTGTACAAGTTTTTGAAACTGAGACGTCATTTTGCATTTAGCATATTAGGAGAGTGTATAGAAATATATTTATAATTTTTCCTTCCTATTTGAATCTTAGTACAGTGATTTATTCAATGTCTTTACCTACTTTTTATTAAATTTAGTAAATTAAATTCTACATTTTCTTTAGATTTTGAATTTTTTCCCTTTATAATTAATTCTTTCTTATGACTATTTAACTGAAACATTTATTAGGATTTTTGTTCTTGATTGGTAGTAAATTTATATATTCTTATTAAATTTGAGAAATATTTTAATTTATTACATTTTTATTTAAATATTACCATTACCTTTCCCTTAAATTCATTATTAAAACACCTAAGTTGACTTTGATCCATATTATCTAGCATTTCATGTTTTTCTTTATATGCTTAAGTACCTCACTATTGCATAACTAATTGATTCCAACCAACTTTAAATTATATTTTAATACAAGTAGTAAAAGTTTGTATATCTTTATTCTTTTTTCAATTATAATTTGAGAATTTATTTTTAGCAATATCATTTGATACCTCTGTTTTCACTTTATACGGCATACGGCTTAAGAAAATTGATATATGATGATCACATTTTAAGTTTTGGACCATGCAGAACTTTTTATCAACAATACATTTTTTAACAAAACCAATAATAAAAAAGTTTTCCAACTTAAGTATTATTATATATAACTGAAATATAACCGACCTTTCTTGATACCAGAATATTTGTTGTAATGTATGACCTTCCTTTTGGTTAAATCCTAAATATATGTACAACTAAACCATAAAATATTAAAAAAAAAGCTCAAGCTAAGTTAATAATCGGTTATTAAATAGAATTTAGCTTTTATTTTGGTGAACATTAATACATAAAATCAACATCTGCTACAGGGTGTTAGTATATTCGACCGACAAGACTCTACCCTAGACAGCTCTTGTTAATTGATGAATTTTGATATAGGAACATGAACCCTCAAAGGACTTAGTTATCGAGATACAACGTGTTAAAAGATTTGAAATCAAAATTAAAAATTTGTTATAAATCAAAGAGGCCTTTAAATATATCTTTAAGAAAGTAATATTTTAACCTAAACTATCAGGGTTAGTGGCAACTTTGTTCCCCTATTTCTACGGCCCTGGAACAAATATTTTTTTATTTTTTATTTTTTTTATTCTATGTATTTTTATTTAAAAAAGTAATAACCTTTTATGGAGCTAAAATGAACGGTGTTGTAGAAATTTTTCTTCTAAGCAAAAGTCTGCATGTACCTACTAATTTATAACGTCCCAATATTTCAAAATTCTAATCTAGTAGACATCTTTCAAATTTTTAATAGTTCTCTGGGGTAGAACATTGTCGGTCCAATATATTAACACCCTGTATAATAAATTAAGTGCCATAATAACAAAAACTTTTGCAATTAAATTTTACTTTTGTTTAATGAAATGTCTATTATTCATCCTAAAAAAAAACAGATTACCTACAGCGAATATGTTTCTTTTATTTTATTGAAACATCTGATTCATTCATTTCGATCATCAATTAAACTTCAAATGGGTCTTAATGTTGATCTTAATACCCAAATTTCCTTTCCTTCTTTTAATTAATTATTAATATACAATTCTCGATGTGATTACCCGCTGAGAATTGACCGCTTTGTTGATTGTGAGTTGTATGACCATCGAATGATCATGATGAAATTTTTAATTCATTTTTCTTTATATTCACATCTCCTGGGTTGTTAGAAATGTCAAAACGATGAGGTAGGTTTGGGTAATTAGTAATTATAATTACCTAAAATTTCTTGGATTATTATTATTTTATATATAAAAAAAATGGAGATAACTGTAGTTATTCACATCAAGCATACATAATATATTTTTTACTGACCGTTCATCGCAGTTACAGTGCATCAATGTGTTGATCCTCCAATTAAAGAGACCATATTTGGTCTCGAATCCGTTGATCCAGAACGGACATCGCAGATCGTGCTTCCTGCAACATCGATCCGTCTTGGAAAAACCTCCAAGGCGGGTATATTTATCAGCGGAATATCCTTTGCCGCACCATTTGGTTCCTGGTACTCGGAAAATGTCGCTTACGTCACGTTTTGACCTGTTTCAGAAAAAAAATGGAGGTGCAGGGATTGGAAACTTTAGTCATGTTCGATTTATTCTGCTTTATATGTCAAATTTATATACGATAAAAATAATTGGTTGGTATACTGTTTTGATTTGAAAATTAGGCATTCCAAACAAAATGGCTACCAGTGGGTTATGACAGGTTATCATATGGCAACACTATGGCAACCCTGTAGCCCTGGTGATTTGACAGGGTCAATGAAATAGATAGTTATATAGATTGGTCATCCATGTTTTTTAATGCCCCGAAGTAAAAATGTAGGTATTTTTTTTACTATATTTAAAGGCTGAAAATTACACTTTTTTTTTTAAAGTAAAACTAACTTATTTTAAAAATGACAATCTGTCAAAGTTTGTTAAAAGCGCATTGATACGATGCCAGGTCATTTAAGTAAGTTTAATAAAAGGCAAGTAATTTCCAAAATAGCGCATGGTTGGTCTATTAGACGACTGGCTCAAGTTTTTAATAGAAATAAAACCATGGATTCAGAGAATTAAAAGAAGAGGGACAACGATCAAACTGTGGACAGTAAAAGAGCAAACGAAAGACCAGTTAAAACTCCAGCACAACAAGATGAAACATTAACTGATTATTTAAGGAAGCATCCCTTCAATACAGCAAGACAGGCAAAAGTTAAAACAAACTTTAATGCTTCAAGAACAACAGAATTAAGAAGAATTAGAAAAACTGAGTTGAAGAATTGTGCAAATACAAACTTAGTGAAAGTAAATAAGCATAACAAAGTTATCTTTGCATTAAATTAGGTTTTAAATGATACAGTAAATTTTTGGGGGTCGGATATTTTTTTCTGACTAAAAAGTGTTCCAATAATATCATGGCGAACATATTAGAGTTTATAGACTACCTAGAAATAGGTTTAATGAAAATTATATTACTTTCAACGATAAATCCGGACGATTTTCTAAAAATATACTGTACAACTCGAGAGGATTGTCCATATCGCACGAAGATAAAATTTGAGCACGACGCCGTAGTGCTCAATCATCATTTCCAATCTTGTTGCACAAACTACTATTTCTTTAACGATACAATAGACAAATAACAAAACAATAAGCTACAATGAAATTAAATTACGAAGAAATTAAGGGTGGCGATTGGAATCTACTAGGGTAGATTATATGTATTACATTTAACAATGCCCCATCAAAATTAGAGAAGCAAAAGTGGCTAACTGCTTTACAATGTTAGTTTCGCACTATACTTTTTCTATAATGTTCATTTTCATTATAGAAAAAATACTTAAAAAGTTTTCTGCTTTATTTAATATTTTCAATAATAAACTACAATAATATTATAAAAAGCATAGTTTGGCAGCAGCGCAAACAACGTTACATGTTGGCTGCAAGATTATGACTGTGCACTTTACTTCTTTAATGATCGGTATTTTTTTTTTAATAATATTTTTATATTTTGTAGAAAAGTCTAAGTATTAATCTGTATTTTAAGAACACGCTGTTTAAATGATCTAAGCAATAATATAAACACTACGTATTCTTTTTTTAAGTATGTACCAAAATTTGTTTGTTTAGACTACCTACTTTTAGCGTATGTCTTCCTATTACACTTTATCATCAGCAATATCGATCATATTATACCTTCATCAAGTTCATTATAAAAATGATATACGAGGCATTGTAATTGAATATTTTGTTTATCAATTAAAAAAAAAATATGTTGCACTTGTACACCTAAATGCTTTAGAATGCATTTTTTATCAATTACAATGAACTACAAACAAAACTGGCGCCAATGTGACAGTTAGTCATACCAGGTAGACAAAAAACAATTGTCTTTTGAGATAATGGCAATAAATTTGTTTTTTTCTTATAACAAACAAGAATAATAGCAATCATAAGACGATAAGCAATAATTGTTTTTGACACATAAGCAGAATAAATCGTACACAACAACAATAAAACAATAGGACAAAGCTTAAATAAGCATATTATGACAAAAATGCAGATGACTAAAAAGTACACATTTTTAAATCAAATCGAAAATTGACAGGCTTTTAAAATTGAAGTTCATTTTGATATGACATTATACATAGCAAAATAATTCCAAAACCAAGACGTAAAATAAATAAAAATTAAAAAAAAATTAAATAATGTGCTACACAATATTACAGCCGCCATTTCTCTTCGGAAAACAACTACTCCTTTGGCTAACATCACTAAAGGTATTGTATTATATCTAAAGAAAGATAGCAGCGATAGAATAGTACATTGTATAATGAGCAAGAAATGGTATACTACAGCAAAAGCCGCAGGCGAATGTTAAAAATCATACGAATAGGAAATGATAATTTCTTCCAAGTTGGATACTATACTTTTTTTATGATAACACGATATTACCCATTTTTAATTAGTTTTATAATTCATAGTAAACATGATTTATTTTTAAATAATTAGGCAATAAACTATTTTGTGTTTTTAAAATTATCAAATAAGGAAAAGTACATCATTTCTTAATTGAAAATAGTTGAAAAAGTATAGTTTAATATTATAGCCATAAAATAGTATATTACATTACGAGTGTGGAAAATCACTTTTCACACAAGTGATGTACAATATTTTTCCTACAACCACAAAATAATTTCATCAAAAAATGTAAAACCAGGTTATTATTATAATAATTAAAATGTATTTAAAAAAATAATCAACAATAATTGTATTTATTCAATTTTCATATTTTTTGAAACAAAAATAAAAAAAAACAAAAACAAAAAACAAAAAAACAAAAAAACAAAAAAAATTCTGCAACCACTAAGTTTTGAACGCCGGGCCCGCGGACCCGTCGTGTAAGCCAAAGTTCAAATTGCAACTACCCTATAACTTGAGTTAATAGGTCTTATGTCAAATGCATTTTTAATTCGGTTTTAAGTTTAAACAGAATAAAAAGCCAAAATAATGAGATGTATGTAGTTATTTTAAAATTATTTTAATAATTATTGTTAAAGATAAATATCTAGGATCTAATTTACAATCATTTCAATAATTTAACAATCATATCGATTTTAGTATTAATATGGACATTACATAGATCCAAATAGAAATGATGCGTTTTGTGACAGCTGATGCGGAAAGTAGCATATTCGCACACGAGTGGAAAGTAAATTCTTATTCATACGCGTGTGATATAGGGCACTTTCCTAAGTGGTCGTAGGAAAAAATTATTTTCAACCCTCTATCTTAAATTTTGCTTACTACAAAAAATAGCCATTCTCGATTCCAATATCTACTGGAACCTAGTGATGCGTAAAATTCAGTCGTAAACCTTGATGACGTTGGGTGAGTACAATTAAGAAGTCAAAAAGTAGCGCTATCTACACTTAATAAACAATTTTACTTGTTTTCTTTTGTTTTTGCAACTGGAGATATAATGAACTTTTCGAAACTGGTTACAAAAAGTAGATCATTTTGCCACTTGCTGTGTGTTAGTGTGTTATTTTATATGTCAAAATTTGAAAAAATCATTTATTTTAATTTAAAAAAAAAGTTGTTCAGTTTCTCGCCCCCAAGTGTCCTGCCGCTTAAATATGTCCACGCAACCAAATAGACGCGTCGAAACGTCTTTGATGACACGTGCCTTTCAGATTTTCATGTTTTTTCTTTTGATCCTAGTCACATTAGAAATTCAATGCGATAATGTCCATTTCTTGCTGACGAGTCCTAATAAAGACGAAACCAACACAAGAATATTGCTCTTCTTAATAAGAAGAATCAGAACTAGAGTATCGAGTATCTGCATAAAATACAAAGCCTGTTGCGGTATTAGCCAAATCAGTAGTTGTTTTCCGGAAGGAAACGATCCCCTGTATAATTTTATGAAACATGGCTTGGAAATAAAGAGTATTTCATTTTTAAAATACAGTATAAAAAGTTTGTTTGTAGTAAAATTTGTTGAATATTTACAATTTACACGGGGATCCATTAGTGTGAAAAATTCCAATATCACCGCATTTATTAGAGGTATATATTGTAAAAAGAACTAGACCAAGTTATATACCTTGAGGAACCCCAAATCTAACGTCCTTAGAACTGCTAAACATGCCGTCGATGCTCAGCACTTGCTTCCTATTTAAAAGAACTTTTATATAAATTCAAAACAAATTTCATAGACTCCTATTTGATGTAATTTTTTAATAATTTTTTGTGACATACGGTGTCAAATGCCTTTGACAGATCAATTAGAATTTAGAATTATCTAAGGAATTGTATATTTTTGATGTTAATTCGTATATGGAATCTTGCGACGATCTCTTTTCTCGAAATCCAATTTAGTTATCGGACCGAATTTTAAATTTATCCATGAATTTTGTCAAGCAGTTTTTAATAGCTTTTTCAGGAATTTTAGGAACACTAGATTACAATGAAATTGGGCGATAATTCTCGATATTTTCAGTATCTCCTTTTTTATATATTTGTTTTATTAATCCTAATTTAAAAATTGTTGGAAATACACCTGTTTCAAATGTTTTGTTTATTAGACAGTCAACGGAGTAACTATAACATTATAAATATTTTTTAAAATATCTGATATTATCAACACCTGGCGATTCATTTAATTTCAGATTTTATTAAATTTGTAACTTCTTCTTCATTAGCTGGATGTAGAAAAATACTCTTATTAACAGTTTTATGTCGTTCGGTGTAGTTTATTGGCTATTCAATTAAATTTGCTAGGTTGTACCCAATCCCACTAAAATATTTATTAAATTCATCTACTATAATTTGTTTTTCACTATTATTTCATTTTCTACATTGATTGTTTTAATTTCTTTTTCGGGTTTGGATTTGTTACAGATATGATTTACACAATTCCATAATGATTTTGATTTATTTGTACTTTTATCTATTTCTCTTTGAATAAATGATTTTTTTGCATTTTATTTTTGTAATAGTGTAGGTCTGTTTTAATTGTAAATTATTGGGGTTTTTTATTAGTTTTTT